CCGCGCCTCCGCTTCGGGAGGGACTCCGACTCCTCTCAGGACTCGTACATTATGTGCCTACGGACTCCAGTTTATTCTCTTTTGCCTGCTACTCGCTTTCCCTCTGTTCCTCTCTTCTTTATCGGTCACCGTCGATTTATTTATCGCTCGGTTTCGCTCGGACCACTAACCGGAAGCTATGCGCGCACTCCCCTTCTTTTGGTCGTGCGACTCCTGCTCCAGACCGACAGTCCGTCGGGACACTCTTTCGGGACCGAATCTAGAATCCTTCGGAGGAATATTTGGAAATTTTACATTTTTTCGTTTCTTTCGATCTTTTGTGTTTGGAAATGTGCCACTTTTGAAGGGTGAAGTCGGATTTGGGTCAGAGCACAGTCGGAGATTTCTAACTTGAGAAGTTTGACACTTCGGGAATCGGAAACTTGGAAATTTGCGCTTTGGAAATTTCCAAATTGCAGAATTGAAAAATTGGAAGATTTGGAAGGTTTGGAGAGTTTGTCAATTTCAAGAACTATTAAGTTAGAAATTTTAGTATGTGTAAAGTTGGAAGTTCGTAAAAATTAATAATTAAAAAATAATAACCCTCATATGACTCTATTTACAAAATCGATGGTATCAGATAAAGATATTTTTTACTCTGAACAGTGATAAAAATTCTGTGCCTGTTTTCATCTGTTCGTAATTGATTCGCAAAAAAGTACATGTCTCGACTTGTTAATTCCTTTAAAGACCCCAACTCGATTGTAATTCAATGGCTCTCCGCGTTAAAATTCGTGTGCCCGTTGGACGCGATGAAAGATATTCCGCTCCACAAAGGCGCCATACGCGACTAGTGTGAACGTTTTCACGCAAGACAGCAAGAAGTCCATCAATCGTTCGGTGCCGGCGCACTGCATATGCGAAGGCGGTGTTTGCACCGATAAGAAGAGCATTGCTCAACTTTTGACCTTTGCTTAGTCGCTCCGGGGTCCGCAGGCTGAAAGAAAATACCAGATAATTCGCTCGTAGGTCCCTCTCTTTCTTTTTCACTCTTTTCCTTACCCCACTTCTCTCGTCTTCGGCTCGTTTATCTCTCTCCCTCTCTCTGTCTCTCCCCTTTCGTCGTTCTTCCTTCGTTGCAACGGCTAATAGACACGTATGACCGACACTCGGATCTCGTAAACGACTGATACCTTGAAAGCAAAGTCGCATCATACTGTATCTTGATGATTATTTAACAATCGAAGGCGGGAGAAAATGCGTAATATCGGCTACGTTTCGGACACGTTACACCGGTATCATGTTGTAAATTTTTAGGTCATTAAATATGAAACCTGCCTGGAGGTAAACTTTCTTCGTTTTCTTAAACAACGATAATCGTTTCATTTCTCATCGAATTTTATCTGTACACTCTTGTCTATGATACTGCAGGAGTCTGGGGTCGATGTTCCAGAATCGAAGAATTTTCATATCAAGAACAGTGGATCTCTTGTCCAAAAACAGTGGCTACCAGTTATGGTAAATATGGTAGGTGTTGGAGAGCTTCCAACTGCGACTCCTGTACCATGGTCATTTACGTGACACGAGGTCAAATATTGTGCAACTAGATTGAATTTCTTTTCTTCTTAAATACTTCTCATAGCTGGGGTAGTCATTTGTCAAACGTAATACAAAACTTGTGTTTTGATTTTGTTACATCCCAAATGTATTTACCACGTGTATGTATAAATTTATGTATTATGTCGTTAACATGCAATCTACATCTTTTATACATAATTTATGTTATATTATTATTATTGAAATTATATAGAAGCACATTTGATGGAGATGCATTATTGCGTTAGTGATTCACTCCGCTTCTCTATCATTATCATTTTTTCTCCGTTCGACTCACTTAACAGGGAGATGATCGTCACCCTTTTCTTTCGTTCACACTTTGGAACGAGACTACACACTATACAAGGTATTTCAGTAGAGGGGAGGTAGAGAATGAATTTCGAGGTGGGCGAACGGTTGAGAATGCTACTGGAATGTTGCTTCTATCAAACCAATGATCATGGTTCTAGTATCTGTCATCGTTATCATTCTTATGATTATTGCGATTATTCTAATTGCTTTCGTCGTCGAGATGGACTTTGAAGTAAACCAACCATTTACAACACTTTTGGAATGTTGATCCGCTGTTTTCGTTGTTATCGCCCTGATTATATATCGATTTTGTAAATTGAACGAGTTTTAATGCCTGATTGTCAATTAATCGAACGAAATCAGAGGCTGATCAGTGGAAGTCATAAAATGTGTTAACAAGGATAATTAACTGTTTGGAAGATTATTATTTTACAAATAGAGTTTTTTTTTTAGTAACAATTATATGAAATGTCCACTGAAAATTTAAAGAAATCAATGTACTTATATGAATCATAATTTTCACTACTAGTGTCCGTACGATTTTCATTCGAAGATGTTAATGTATTACAACCAGTACTGTAATGTGGATGGTTTGCAAAGTATAAAATAATCATGTAATTTATGAAATATCCGCAGCGTAGTGGGTATATAAATTTTCTACGATTCTGTAGTAAAGGTAAGTACATAGCATAAATGTAAGAATTATCCTCTCCAACAATAAAGCTTGATAGCTGTTATTGACAAGTGTTATATGTTTTATGAAGGTTGATTTTTTATCATTATCAAAGATACGAGTAGCGTGTTCGAATTGAAACGTTGTCTCGTATTTCAACCCTATCTCGTGCGTTCTCTGTTTCAGCTGATCGATTAAACGACCCTGACAGCACGTATTTGAAGCTGGGTCCCTGGAGGCGGTGATTTCGGATAAATCCCCCGAAGAATTCGAAAATCCAGTTTAGCTTTGACCATCTCGCACTACCTTAATACTTTTATATCCTCTAAACTGCTACTGGCTACTGCGTGGTATCCCATCCTCTTTCTTCCTTGCCGTCGTTGCTCTTTTCCGACAAGAAAACGAGGAGTTCGCGTGCGTGTCTTGAAGCTATGCAACAGGGAGATCCAGGGAAGCTGGGAGGAGGGATAAACCAATACCGAGGCCGGTAGCGATGAGTGCGTGACAAGTCGAACGCGAATGTGTGCGTTGGCGCCAGGCCGCATTCTCGCATTCGTTAACTAACACATCGAGTTAATCCCTCTGCAGCTCGTGCCTTGTCCTCCCTCACCCCCAATACCCCACGATATTAAGAGCGGTCACGGATCCCAAATTTGCCATCCGTGGGGAGGCGAGACACCGATTTGTCCTCGGCCCGTTTGCATGCCATCGGTACGTGGTAAGATGACCGGTTTCTACTGGTGCAGATTGACCGCTAATCGTATTTCGGATCAAACTGTTCTCCAGAACAGAATACACCCGTATCCGGCTGTCGGCGCCAGCACATTGAAACGCATTGTCTCGATTATCAATTGCGATACCGTTCTACGTGTTTCGATACTCGGAAGGACTTACAATTAAAATCTTACAAAAATATCATCTCCCACATTCTAATTAACTCGATATATTAAAGTCGAGTACAGATGGTAATAATTGTTATATTTACAAATTTCCAAACTCCAAGATCTATACATCCTCAAATCCCCAAACTTCCAAGTCCTTAAATCCCAAAATGCCTGAATGAATAAATCTCTAAATTCTCAAGCTGCCGAGTTTGCAACCTAGTTTTTTTAATACGTTCGATTAATGAAAACGAGCAGAATCATTAATGATACGAACGAAGAATTAATTACGAAATACTTTTCTCGAGAGTAGAGTGTTGCAACGCATCGATGTGGCGCACAGAAATCAGTCAGAGAAAATACGGCGTATACCCATAAAATATTTGCTTTCGCTTCAATGATCCACGAAGGAACGTCCGATCATCGAGGTCAGTAATTAATCTGTATCAGTTTACAATGAACGAAAGAGAGCGTTGAAAGAGCACTTATGATTCCAACGACCCCGTAATCAATATTAATTGCATATTAATGAGTAAATTGCGTAGAATCTGGACGAAGGGATCCTTGTTTCAGGAAACTTCCAAAAGAAAAGCAGAAGAGAAAAAGAAAACACTGAACTTGGTATAGCGTGACCAGCGTAATTATTCCCGAGGAACGGGACGCTATCGCGTGAATTAACAACGCGCTACTGCACCTGAGATAATTGCATCGTGCCAGGAGCGTGAATCGTGTCAAACATCGTGTAAAAGCCGTGTATCGAGACGCGTATATCGACCTAACACTCACCTAAATCATCGGTTTCCCTCTTGGTAGTTGAAACTATACTAAAGGTGCGGCTATCGATAATAACATCGTTACTATATCGTTAGAGTTAAAGAGAGGTAATGCGTAATTTTATCATTAAAGATTTCGAACTTAATACAACTTAACGCATCTATTTATTTTTATTTCAAGTTTCGATACAATTCAAGCAAAAAAAATAATCGAAATGATAAGATAAAAACGCTTTATCATTTAAATCTGTTAAGTAGGGTTATGGTTTTATTAAGTTAAAATAGGTTTTGTAAATAAAGCTAAGTCAGGTTAGGTTTCATCATTATAATTTATTTCTTATTGAAGTTCAAATACAGTCTAGTACTACATGTATTCTATAATTGTAAAAATGAATTAATTTCTATTAAATGTCCAAAAGTACTTGTACCTATTTATACCCTCGCCACTGTATATTAGATAGTTCGCTTCTTCACTTCCCTTTCCATTCTGTCATTATTGTCCGTAATAAAGGAAACCAAGCGAACTGAGCTACGCTAAAAACTGAGATAAGTTGAGTGTCTACTAGCGGACAAGACTGCAAAGCATGTTAAATCGAGACAGCTACATCATTACGAAGCTACAACTCTGGCTGGCGCCTCTCTATTTCTTGTTCCATAGGACCAAGATGTAACCCTTACTTTTTCACTCGGTACATTAATACAGCGATCTTCATCCTTCGAACATTATCCATCTTCATCCGCACAACAGATTAACGTTAAGACGTTCGTTACCACCGTTACATACAGACGGCGATTTGATGTCTTATGAAATAACACCGTTACAAAGATGTTCGACTACAAGTTTTCATCTTGTATGAAACATTTCAAATTTCGAACAGAAATGCAACATAAAATTCACGAACTCGAGTTAGATGGTTTAAAGATAAGATACATTAATATTATCTTCATCATGCATACGTAATAATCTTTACACACGTTCAGAAATCTTATTGACCAAATTATGATTATAGAAAGCTATCATGATATCAATCAGAACGATATATATTCATGCCAAGGGTGTTAAATTAGAAATAATAATGTACAAGTCGGTAGTGTAATTGCATTGACGTGACTCGGATTTTTTACGTTAAGCCAGATACCCTTATATCTCCAGATACAATTTCGAGCGTGATAAGATTTGCCAGGGCAAATGACGTCCACATAGGCGATAAACTCCTGGGCCCTAGAGAAATATTGAGCTCGCCAGTCTTCTGGAATTAAGAAGTTTATAAGTTCCCAAATTTGCGAATCCCCACACTCGATATAAAGCGTAATAATTATCAGATCATATATCGAATGATAGTCTACCGTCATTGCTAGTGATTTGAATAATTTCCAGTCGACATTTTGGGTACGAAGACTCGCGTAAATCCTACATTTTTGAAGAATGTTGAGAGCCCCTGGCTATGTGTGTTTATGATGGAATTTAAAGGAGCATCTCTCTTTCCTTCCTCCGACACGGCCACGGGTGAATCTCTTGGTTTTTCAGTTCTATCAGTCTTATTGGGCCTTTTTCTGCTCGGACGCCAGGGCGCCGGGACCCGCTACGGTATGAGACGGGACGCGCCGTCACTTCCTGCATACAAAACTGATGCACCATTAACATTCTTCTGCGGTGCACGATCGGCCGTATTATCTTCTACCGATATAAGTATGTACACGTACGTACGCATACAAAGAAACGCGTGTACTCGCATACCCGCGTGGCTCAGTCGATGCCCTAATCTGAATAATGCGATCGGCCTGCCATGAGTCTTCTCTGCTTCTCTTTTTCATCTTCGTACGGATCACGCGATGTCCATGGCAAGTCGATGCCTCGCTTTTTGATATGTTCGTTGGTAGCGCTCGAATCATAGCTGTATGACCGGAGACAAGGTAAGCGTTTTGACATTCGCCAACCTCCGACTTGATACTCGAAAATACCTTCAGAGCTATATTTTTGTGGTTTTGGGTAACACTGACTTCACCACCTACTGTACAGCGCAAAATCTATTATACGAAATGGGATCAAATTTTTTGGGGACGGGAGCCACTTTCGGAAACAATCATTTTTTACGGTACACTTGTTTGTAAGGTTAAGTTGTTAGCTTGTAATGCGTTATAAAAGTCCAAACTTCCAAGATCATGAAATCGAAAACTTCCAAAATTCAAAAATTTCAAAATTACGAAATCGCGAAAGTTAGAAAATGTTAAGATGCCAAAGTATTAATGTCCCGAAGTTAAAAACTGTGAAGACTCAAAGTTTCGAGTTAATTCTGTTCAAAGCAGAACATGTAAATACTGTGCTATACTTTCGAAAGCCCGCTCGATCGCTTGTTTTCGTTGGTAGCACCATCTATCGAACGTTGGAAGCATTTGGAAATATGTTGGTATTGCAGGAAAACATTTTTATCAATTCTGAATGTAAAAATATAATAATAGAGAAGGTGCGAAATGGGAAAGATTTTGTACTCTTCGATACCTAAATCTGTAACTTTCTAAAATAGTATCAATCATGTAGTTTTTCATAATAAGCGGTACAGATATGTAGGAAAGCAACTAATCAAAATTGAGCCTCAGTTGTTACAGTACCTCTTACGTTTTACTTGTAAGTTTAAACTTACACTCTATCCCTATATTTTTAGATCTATGAAATCGTGTTATATCTAGGGATTAATTTAACCGATATGTTGGTAACACCAGTAATGTTACTAGCAAAGCGAATTCTGGGTAAAATAACGTGTGTCGTGTCGGCCGTCGCAGTAAAATTTCATCGGTAGGTTCGTTAAAAAAACCAGTTACACGATAAAAACGAAGTGATAGAACATAATTACGTAATTTATTTATATTTCCCGATCGATTCGCGTCAAACTCAATTTTTTTTACATATTTTAGATATCAAATCTTTCCTATTAGCTACTGATCGAGTGTATCTTGTATCTTCGTGCTTGCGTGAGTGTAGAAGACGGTTCTATATTTCGCATCGCCGTTCTAATATTGTTGTTCCTTTTCATAAATTTTAGTTTTGCCGCATCAATTAAGGCCGATCAACGATGATTGACCTTACGGTGAAGACCTTGGATTCACAAAATCATGCTTTTTCTTTAGAAGACGATGTAAGGATTTCTTTGTACTTTTCGTGCAATGAGTGCTATATGTTTATGACTAATGATACAATCCGCTGCAATGTCCTCCGAAACATGCTTTATGGTTATTCATGTACCAATTTATACATACGTTACTATTTTTAATCGCATCACATCATACTTTTTATATAGAAATAGTTTTCATAATTACAATTTTTATTTAATATACAATTTATAATTCGTAATACGCAATCATCTATTCTCTTGTTTTGAAAAATTAACGCTTTTATGTTATTGCTCCATTTACTAGAGAATTTCATCATTTTGTTTGTACCTCTATATAGCTTAATTCTTTTTTAGCAGATACTTGTTAATGTTAATGTTCAGTATGATATGTTTTTGTATGATTATATAAAACATGTTGATACAAAATGTCAATACTTTCTATTCATCGTAGTCATTGCAATACAGGTTGCATGTTAATACTGTCTCAATATTTGGTATCTTATTGTAGGAACATTTGTAAAATTATCAAGATTTGCTGATAAAATATTCATGAATAATAACTGTAACTAATAATGTTAAAAATTTGACACATTAATGTAGATAAATTACATTATACAGTTCATTAGGTGGAAAATATAGATTACAAAATATAAAGCACTATCTTTAGTATTAATTTCATTGTTGGAAAATATTTAAATATGAAACGTTTCGGTAACAACATCTTAATTAAAATTTTTTTATAGCAAATTACAGTACGAGGCTTTAAAGAACATATAGCAGAATCTGTGGCAGTTCCAGCAGATTCACAAAGACTTATTTATTGTGGTAGAGTTCTACAAGATGAAAAAAAATTAAATGATTATGGTAAAGAATTTTGGATTGTGATATAACTTTATATGTAAGTGTACAACTTTTCATCACATTAAATTTTCATAATTAAGATGTTAACGGAAAAGTTATACATTTGGTGCAACGTGCACCACCACAACCTGGTCAACGAGGAAATGATGGAGGTCAAAGTCAGGGACAAAATCATGGATCACATGGATGGCAAAATTCACCAAGAACACATTATCGACTCACTCGTACTCAAATGCATGGCAATGCTATGTATTTGGGTGCAATGTCTGTACCGGCAGAAATTGTGGAAGGGCATGGTACTGTAACTAATGTTTTCCTACACTATTATTTATAAGTATCTAAATTCATTATATTATACTTATTATAACATTCAACAGGGTTAGCACTACCTCTATTCAGTAATAGCTTATCCAGTGGTCGGTTAATTGCTGCCAGACACATGCTTGAGCGTATAGATAGGCTTATAGACAGATTAGAGAACCCATCTCGTCCTGTGAATCCTTCTTCATCTGAGAACAGTCGACCAGTTTTAGGTGATCTAATGCAGGAATCAGAACCAGAACAGTTGTGAGTAAACAGAATTCTTTTAATAACTTTAGTATAATATAATGAAAATAATTCCATATTTTCAGTAATACTGAAGACAGAGCAAATAATGGTGCCATATTAGCAGAAGCAGCTGCAGCTGCAATAGTAGCTGCTTTATCTGCTGCTGGAGCCAATAATCAGTTAGAAATTGTTGGTTCAATTAGAGGTGTGTATACCATCATCAATTAGAGGTTTGTATATAAGTAAAACAATAAAGAAGAAAGTGTTAAATATAAATCACTCTATGCAATTATGTATTGTAAAAGCTGGTGGTAGCGATGAAAATGCCGAAACAAGGCCAGTAAGCGAAGTTAATGAAGAAAGTCAACCAGAACCACAACAGCCACAACAACCACAGACTGAACAACAAGGATCTTCGTCAAATAGCGATGGACAGTCTAATAGAAGATCTTCACCACAGTAAGAATGCCTTTAAATTAATCTTGGTTTTGAAATTCAATAGTATGCTATATAACTCATGTATATATTATTTCTAGACTTCCACGGCCTCCACAATTGGCAGAATTATTGGAATTGTTACTGGACACTCAGTCTCGTTTACGACCTCACATAGAACGATACTGTAAACTTATGCGCGATGACCCTTCACTACCTCCTGTAAGTGTAGTATGTCTTTAAACGTGTCATGTGCGTCATAATTTTATGTTTACAATGGTTAATAGTGGAGAATTATAATTATAATAATTATATTAGGGAAGACGGGTAGAAGAAAATCAGACGTTTGTGGATAGCGTCAGTGAATGCTTACATTACACATCCCATGCTTGCCATGCTTTAAGTGATATAATTGTTGATATGAATCAGCAACCACCAAGAAATTTGCGATGTAGACCAATTATTATCCAACGTTCAGCCATTCTACAGCATGGTACACCAATACAGGTAGAGGTGAGAACGAGTGATTAAGGGGTTGAAGTTTTGTTTTGTGTGTAATCCATCTTTATGATGTGTTTCTGATAGGCACACATTAGTTTACATGGTCGCAATGCTAATAATAATAACGGCAATGAAGAAAGTGGAGATGCGGCAAATAGTGCTTCACAACCTGAATCCGCCGAAGGTAATGTTGGAGATTCCACTGAGCAGCAAGAACCTGAATCTGCTGCGCAACAACCAGCAGACCAACAACCAGAGCCGACACAATCTCCATTCGGTATGTAGTGTTATTTAAAATGAATAATTTAGTTTTATGATGAAATTTAATTTACTGTTTAGGCACAGTATTCAACTTGCCAAATAATGTGGAAGTATTAATGGAAGTTAGTCCTGAAAGTAATTTAGATGCTGCATCAGGAAGTGAACAAGCTCAACCTGGTGAAAATAATAATAATAATAACAACAATAATAATAATGTTGGTAAGTTATCGTTATCGATTAAAGTGTTTTCACTTATATAGCTACTTATGTTATTTCGTCGTTTATACAGGAGGTAGAGTACGTGGTACTGCTGGTGCATTTACTTGGGGTTCAAGTCCCGCGCCTGATTTCATTCGAAATTTAATGCAAGCCGTTGCTGGACGCATGGTACAAAGTGGCATGACTAATACCACAATTACAACTAGAAATCCTGTAACGGTTGGTCAACAAAATGTTACATCGATGGATAGTGGAAATACAAATGCAGGGCAGAGCACACAGGCACGGTACGTTTGTTATATAATTCTTTTGATCATGTGGATTTATAATATTTTAATTATATTTACACTGATATATTTATTACAGAAGCAATGTTGGTACTCATCCCACCACAGCAACTCAAACTAGAAGTACATCGCGTCCACATGTATTTCATCCACAAGCTCACCCTTTGGGCGTGGGAATGAGTATAGGACAAGCATTTGACTTTGATCCATTCCTACCGTGTAATTCGCATCACGTTCGTCGAACATCGACCACAAATTCTAATACTGTCACATCTATGTCGCAGTCAACGCAAACAAGCCAAACAACTACATCTGAAACTCGACCACAGACACAAACTGGTATGTTATTTAAGTGTATATTATTTCTATATTCTTATGCTGTAGATCGCCACATCCTTATATCTCTAGTAAATGTTAAAACTATTAGATATCTGTTTTATACACGAGATTAGAGTAATATTCATATGTTTATAGCAACAACTTCGAGCGCAACTAGTAATACTAGTTCTACAAATACTACAGCGTCTACAACATCACAAACAAATGCAGAAAATCCATTCATGGTCTTACCGCCGCAACTATTAGGAAGTAGAAGCGGACAACCTCAAGCGAGCATCAGTATCAACAGTAATAGTAAGTACTTTTGAAGTTTACAATAATATATTTTATTAAATAAAGATGTGAAATTAAAATATGTATGAATTTGTATAATAGATCCTGATTTAGCTGAAAGTCTTGGAAATGTAGTACACTTATTTGGTAGTGGAAACATTAATCTTGGTATTATGGAGGATGAGTAAGTAAATTATCTTATATAAGATGTTATTCGTTAAAGATGATGCTTACATGTTATTTCTTTTATTAGTGATATTGGAGACTTTATTAACATCGCAGATATATTTGGACTTATGGGCATTCAGCTTAGCGATTTTACGTCACAGGGTTCAGAAAGCGAAGGAAATTTTCTTGTCGATTTAATTGTAGTAATGGTAATTACATTATTTTATACATTTTATGTGGTTATGCATATAATGTTTTTTGTAATACGATGTGTAATGACTTTTGTTTTATAACATTTTCAGTTACGAAATATAACGTGGGATCACTTAACAAGATTACAGAATGGCCAATTGGAACCAATTTCTCTTTTTAGAAGACCGTTACAAGAATTCCTACAATATACTTTTCCAAATACCACACTAGAAGAACTTCAAGAACAAACTACAGAACGATTGTTGTCTCAATTCAGATCAGAGTTTCAAGACCTATTTACATCAGAGGAAGAGAGTAATGTTAGGAATGGTTCACGTGTAGATATTTGCGCAACTGTAGAAGCATTATTCCGTCGTCATATCAAGGATATGTTGCAATTTCTATTCAACAATGGTTTGTATATTAATATATTACTCATATGTACATTCAAGTCGAAGATTAAGTCACAATATTTTGTCATCCACTATACCCCGTAAATTAATATTTATCTAGATATCGATAACACTAGATTTTGTCAAGAAATTGTCAATACTTTGAACAATTTGGGAACACAATTATATGCTGTACTTCGATATTCCATTCGTGATGGACAAGCGAGATTAGAGGTTCTAGTGTCCCGTTTTCTGGTATGTTATATTCTTTTACCGAGTAAGTGAATTTTGTTACTTTTTAATTACCCACTTCTAATTTCGTTATATATGTGCGTAGATTAAAACGTTCAGGGGTACTCATGCTGCACTACGTCTATGGCTACGGCATAGGATCATTCTTCAATCACGTCTTTATTCTGCACGTATTACACAACTTCCAGAATCAGAAATTCTCCCGCTTTTAGTGTACAAAGATGCACCTTCTCAGCCATCAACGGCGCCCTCGGCTCCAACTCACCAACCTACACAAGTACAGTCTGAAGCGGAGGTAAGTCATTTATTTATTTATATACTTGCATAAATCTAAATTACAAGTTGAAAAATTTTAATGAGTAAATACAATTTCAGCCTATGGAAACAGAAACAGTAGAGGAAAGGACAACTTTCGAAGCATCTTTACCAGATGATGGAGAGGTAAATCCAGGAATATTTCCAGATTATGGAACGGTTCCTTCTGTAAGTGTACATAAGATACATACGTGAATTTATATTGTAAGCAATGGTTCCATAAAAATGATATATTTCAGGATTGGGTGCCAATTATTGCTCGAGACGGTGTGCGACAGCGGCGTCAGTTACAAATGCAAGAAATGACAAATGGCGGTGTAACAACGTTTAGCGATGCCTATTTAGGTACACTGCCTACGAAACGACGTAAACTTATCGAGCAACAAAAACCACGATTATTAGTTAGCCCCACTCCTAATCATTCGGCAATAGCAGCATCTATGGAGCGTTTAGTAAGGGAAGGTGTTACTCGAGCGGGTGTTGAAGAAGTTGAAGGCGCTGCAGTTGCCGTGGCTGTAGATCCTGGTGTTAGGCGCGCATTTGGTCAAGCAATTAGAGACTGCTTGAATCCACGAAGATACGGAACACCCGATTTTCCAGATCCTCTACGTTTTCCCAACGCGACAAAGTATTTTTCGGATCAAGATAGGTCACCGAAATAATAACTGCAACAGAAGAAAAAGTTCATAATGGCTTAGAGTACCATCTGTAAAGGAGAAACTAGGTAGCGTAAAAATTTACAGCGACCAAGGAATACACAAGATATATTCGTAAATTGTAATCATAAATATTACTAATAATTGTAACTCCTTACATCGGTTGAACGATTTTGATAAATCTGGGATACCTTCAGATAATATCACGTAAAGTATTGATTTCTTTAATTCACATTTATAGTCTGTAGTTTCGTGAACGTATCTTTCTTCATTTTTTAATCTATAAATAATGTTAAATAATTAACAGTGTACCTTTGTGTTATTAAAAATTATGGTAAATCAGCTACACTTGCTCTCCCATTATGTATGCACTGAATATCAATTGACGCCCGACATACTATTATATCAAAATACTTCTTTCATTATTAAAACGCGTTTTCTGTAGAATTATCGTTACACAAATGTTCATCTAATGTTCTTAATCAAACGATACCTATGTAGGTATTATACAGATAATAATACGTATTATCTTACCGTGACCTATTATACCGTACCCTATTTATGTGTCATCGATATTAAAACAATCTTTTTCGTATAGATATAATTCTTTTAATAACGATAACACTATTTAGTAGTCGATATAAACTGTACTAAATTATAGTCCACTATTTGAATTAAAAAGAGAACTGTGGAATCATCGATGGTATTTAAAAAGCGATTAGATACGCTTCAATAATACGTCCCACTCTAATCATGAATCATCTAAGCCTATATTTGTATCGCCGTAAGCTTTGTTAAATAATGTGTTATAAAAACGTTTATCCAATCAATGTATCTGTAATTTATGTAGATAATTAATTTTGATTGTGTAACTTCATTGAATAACTCGGAAGTGGAATTTTTATACGGATTTAAGGTACTGTATTTTATGTATACAACTTTGGTGAACTGTATTAAGACATGGTTTTTTAATCGCGCCAATTTCTAGTAAGATTTCATCGATTTTAACATGGAAGGGAATCAAAATAGCCTAATGCGATGGATAGGGAAGTACGATTCCAAATTGAGTTCGTATTAATGTTAAGGAATATCGTACATGAATATTATTTGATAGAATCGCATATGATGTTAATAAAGTAATTGAAGTAATTTTACGTCATCATGATTTTGATTTCAGATAACCAGATTACATTCGTAGTAAAAAGTTATAGAGTTTTAAATAAACATTGGAAAATAAAATTCAGTCTCTTGTGCACTCTATCCGGTATTAAATTTTGGGTTATGAAAATTCCTAGTAAGTGCTTCACAATTTCCCGCTTATGTAGCTATCGCCATCTACACACATTCTTATAACATTTCTTCATCGTTTTGAAATTCCTATTTCATATCCTTGTTCATCACGTATACGCGTGTTTTTCCAGTTACTTTCGTTCGTTCTCGTTTTGTTGAATATTTACGACTCGATTACTCACTGACTTCGTAATTTACGATCCAGCTAAAAGTGCACACGTCTTTTTACTTCAATACGCGCCACTGGAACGTCGACAATACACTTCTGCCCGTAAAAACACAAAAGAATGAAAACAAAAAGTGTTGCAAGTTAAAACGCACTTGAGGAAATGCCGGTCGATAAATGACTGTGCGTAGGGTTGAATTAACCACCAAGAAAAATAAGTTCGTACTTAGAGCATTGAAGGAAGGGGGCACCACAGAAATTTTCTATGTACCATATACCCCCATATTTTAAATTTCAACTTTCGTAGTGTCAAAGCTAGGTCCTGGAAGTCTTAAATATCAAAATCCTAAAATCTTAAATTCTCAAAGTTCGAAACGTCGAAAATTTCCAGCTATCGAATTGCAGAAAATAAATGTTATTTCATGGTTTATGTATTTGAACCATATGCGATACGAAGAAGCCGTAATGTATTTAATGTTTGAGGCTTTGTGAAGCAGCTAACGCGGCCCTGACTGTGCGTCGTTTTCATAGAGACGGACTTTGAAATATTCATATCTCGGTAGCCTGTGAGAATCGCGCGAACAGCCTCTATCCAACCGGTCAAATTGATTTTAATCGTTTGCGTTATTCGCGCAACAAATTCGTGTACTTTTCCGTGTGTGTGTGTACCATCGTGTATAAAATTCAACGCGATCTCGCGTCTGAACGCAATCATCGGTGTGTACACGGCAAATATCCAACAACATTATCGGCGGCGTAAATTGCCAGAGTTCAAAGTATTCGCGTGAAGCAGCGCCAAAGCTTCTTGCAAACGAAAGCCCTCGTAAACGTGACTGGCACGCAACGAGACACAACGGGGATCGATGATTAAGGTGGTTGCATCGCAAACAAACGGTTTATTATGAAATCGCTTTAAAATGTAACTGAACGTAAATAATATCGATAAATAAACACCGATGAAATTTCGAAAAGGCTAACTCTACCGAAACAGGCATAATTACATTTGAAATTATAACATTTAACACGTGTACACACGCGCAATGCACAATGCAGGAAATTTTTAATTATTGTGTCATTTAGCATGAAACTCGACACAAGGTAAACCGTTTTAGAGAAACATGAATCATTTTTAATTGAAGTATGCGTTATCTATATACTTTAGCCGTTTGAATGGTAATTTGTTTACATCGCTGTAGAATCCTGAATTAACGTCCTAACTTATCGATTGAACTTTGCCGATATTAACCACCTTAATTGATCAGATATTGAAATATATACACGATCGAGTGAATCGTGGTTTCGAACGTCTTCACACGTCGAATTATTTCCAACTCCATCGAAAGATTACACACGTTTATCGTTCGAACAACAACGCTTGTTAGATTGTTTGCCGATGTTGATTGTTTGTCCACGATATCGGGAGGTGTAGACGTTCGATGTTAAGACACGATAAATCGGTTATCGGTCTATCAGGGTGAACGCTGATAAGAAAGTTGACGCTTCCTCGATGCGTTACGAAATTGAATCGAGCATCTGGGAATCACTCGATCGACTCATTCGTTTCTTTTCTTTTTTAATCTTGTACAATGCTGAAACACGAGTAACAATGTGTATCGCTGCCGGTTCAAAATACAACTTTTTTTTTCGTGATAACAACGATTTTGCATTCTAGTTAATTCAATGTATTGCTCTACGTTTTGTCACTCGATGTAAATATTATGTGGCGTTATATCTACGTGTGTTATATCACCACGCGTTGTATTAGTCAATTTTTTCATTGGTAATGATAAAAAATGAAACGACCTTAAGAGTATCTTTGAAAACTAACGCGTGTAATCGATTAAATAAATATGTGCGGTGACCTTACATTTACATCTTTATGATACTGACGTCGTATGAACATAATTGCGCATATCGGTTAGCGTCTTGTTTCACGCATATCTTTAAAATTTCCAGATCATCAAGATTAAGAAAAAGAAGGTAACAATAAAGTCATCAGACAAATGATCATGTTCTAATAGGGCACTAGTTTTCAGATAATTGCCATGTAAATCGAACAATAACATTTTTATTTCAATTGATTTTTTGTTCCATATGTGATATGCGCATGTTCGCGGTAATATAACGAAAGTGTGGTATATCATCGCTTTCGTTGAAACTGCGGAAGCCAAGCCGAAATAAAAATTCCAGTTACGCCAATAAGGGTAGGTATTTCACGCCAACTTTTATATTCAGTGAAAAAGAAAACAGAGAGTGGGAATAGGAAGAAAACTAAAAACGGATTTCCCTTCCCTTGCCGGTTACCACTCACTAATAGGTGCTCGTTAATATTGCGAGTGCCACTCTTGAATATCGAGGAGAGATTTCTACTACCTTCCCTCCCTTTTTTCACCATTTCACTGTTCCTCTCGTTCTCTTTTTTCTTTCTCTCTCTTTCTGTCTCGGTACACTCGCCCTGTCTACGGCGTTTCCCTCTCTCTGTCTACGTAACGCGAACGTTCGTCGGATTAAGGCATAATGAAATTACGAGGGTCATGTCATTTTATAAAACGATCGTTAAGCGTCGAGAGTGTTCGCTTGCCGTGGCTCTCGTCGAAATGACACCGCATTGAAAACGATCGATCGAAATCTCTGACGAAAGAGCCTCGGGGCTGTGCAAGAGGAGAAAGAAGAGGAGGAGGCGGAGGGGCTCGAATTTCTGTGGAGGGAGAGAAAAAAGGAACGAGCGGAAAGAGGGAGAAAAAAGGGAAGGATAAGTGGAATTTTATGTACAACAGCAACGGCATGCTAATAAATCGGTTGGCGCGTTATAAAATCGATTATTAATTTAATCCGAACGAAATATATTGGAATTACCTGAAATATCGGCTGGACGAGATGCGCATTGACACACAGGTTGTTACCTGGCCGCTTCGTCATAAGCGCACCACGGAATTTTATGAACACGCGCGCGTCTGTTAACATTCCATGTGCCAAAATTCATTATAATTTATTGATACGTCAAATATGTATGTATATCCATCGGGCCGTTCGTTGCTCTTCAAAATAACGAGCGGAACGAGCGTGCGCGTGCGTACTAGCCGCTGTTTCAGTTTTCCTTTCGTTTTATTTTCAATCAAACACATTCGTACGGTCGATTTTTCGTGATTCCCTGAATGAACGGGGGAGGCGAATTGGGGACCGCCTGTATGTCGCCCGCATTCGTAAATATACTGGTAACGATATAATTGGCTGCGTCGGCGGATTCGTTATATTCGGCGACGACGCGTCGGAATTGTTTTAGTTTTGTTAAATATTATTTGCCCGATAACGTAATGTTTGTAATAACGGAGATCCTGCCGAGAAAATCAATGAAACTACATTACTAGAAGTCGCGGTAATCTCTTGACACATGGCGTTCATTCGAACAGTTTAACACGGTGACGGTAGATCAAGTACCCGTTGAAGAGTTCACGGACGTGCACAATGCGTGTACTATGAGATGTACTTACGGCCGGAAGAATTTCATAGTTCTTACCATTAGAATGCAGCGCCTACAGGATATTACAGTAGACTCCCGTTATATTGCCGCTTCAGCGAATTCTCCTTCTGTGGACTTTAGTCAAGTAATACCGCTCCCTGTTCATCGCATCTCATTGCATTTACGGACACTTTGAATCTCCGAATTATCAAAGTTAAAAATTTAGACATTTTTTAATTAATTGTTAGAAAACACACAATTTACAATTTCCACTATTATATTGAACAAAAACCTAACAGCCCATTATAAAAGTATTTTACACCACCTTTCGCAAAAATTCTTTTTGTAACGTATAAAGCGTACATAAATCGATATAACGTAAAGAGAAAAATTACATTTTTTTTACTTTATGGCCAGCTAGATTCTCCGCTTCTACAGATTGCTTCTCTCTCGGGTTGTTAATCGGATTCTCTCAATTTTTCTGGACTTCTTGTCCCCCTGTCTCTTTGTCATTGAAGAACTTCACATTCCAGAGAGACCAACAGGCGTGTAACGTTCCTCCGCGATGCAATAAAGACGTTGATAACGTGGATGTTAGCTTCTAACGATAAATCTGACTGTATCCCTAGAAACGAAACACTCTAGAAGTCTGTAGTACCTAGCAGCGACCATTGGCGTAACTAGGTGGAGACCAAAATGGTTCCGAACCTCTCAAATATAAACTCATGCTCTCCCACATAGACTGAGGGCTGTAAAACGTAGAGTATCGTCTATTATAAATTTTCTAAGCGATAAATTTTCAAATTTTAAGATTTTCAAGTTTCATACTTAAAAATTTCTCAAATTCTTAAACGACGAAATTTTTAAGTTTGCAAATTTCTACCGTTTCAAATTTTCAAATTTCCAGATCTCTAAATTCCAAAATTATGAAATTGCTAACTTTTTAAATCCCCAAAATCCCAAATGCGTGAACTTGTAAATTTGAAGTCAGCGAGAAGCGTCTCGTGATATATCGGCATTATCGATAAAGCTAGAATATCGGTGGTAGTCCGGCGTCGAAAAATCGCAGTTACGCCAATGTGACCGTGGTCCAATTGGACTCAAGTTTTTCACAGAGGGATAACACCTCCGTTGCACTTGTCAACGAAACGGTCGGACTACCAGGAACGATATCGTCGAACGGACCTCCAGTTGCTCGTTGTCGCGGCGACGAACAAGAGGATTTTTCGGAGTCTGGGAGCGAAAGGCGTTGGTATTAATTGGCTGGACTAGTCCGTGTGGAGTGGGCCGACGACACTGAACGGCTCACCACCACCAGCACCACCATCACCACCACCGACATCGGAACTATCACCACTACCATCAACCGGGGCCAAAGCTATTCTCCGCGTTTGAACGTTTTTCGTGGTTCGTGCCACGGAAATGTTCGTTCATTCGGTGATCGTGCCTGGCTCCTCTTTCTTCCACGACCACCGTCGGGGTCGTACCCTCTTCCTTCTTCGACCCGTACCCTCGTGACTCGACTCGGAACTCGAGGAGACCAGCGGGAGTATAGGCCGCTCGGTTGTAGCCGTGTCTATACAAATGTATACCGACACGTAGAAAGGCATAATAAAGGTCGGGGAGTAAGTCCGCGCGGATTTAACGAGCGGCTGTCAACGGTACGCGCGATGGTTCGCAGTTGGTCGGAGTCGGTGCGCTCTTCTGGCAGGATTGGCCTTTTTCGTTCTCGATTACGCCTCTTTATTCGCCCACTGGGCGTCGCCTCGGATTTTTCCGCGCCGAGGTTGGCTGCCGGGGCAGACTTGCGGCTCTTATAGGTCGACGCGCTCTTTTTCCAGGTCGAGCACGGCAGAGTCCGCGCGGACTTAGCCGAGGCCGAGGTTAAGACGCCTTGGCAATCAAGTAGAACCTCGGGCAAGCAGGGGCG